ATAGTCCCTTTAATTTCCCCAAGTACTTTACAACTTATGGAAGCCGCAAAGATAAACCCTTTTCGGTCTGAGCTCATCCCAGTTAAGCCTTCTTCGACCCTAACCCAACTCTCTGGCTAACCCCTTGAAGCCCCGAGACCACTTAACCCGCTAACTCCTCCAATCAGGGAAAAAACAGTGGCGAAAAACAGTCAGCCATAAATTTATCAGCGAAACATGAAACGTGCGAGTGGCCCAAAAAAGATACTCTGTCCGAGATACTCCGACAGCGATACCCAAACAGATACAGATACGGATCCAGTGCCAGATTCAGATCCAGATCCATAGCCATAGCCATATCCATATCGAGATATACATAGATACAGATACACGCAAAAGCAATCAGAGTATTGACCACAACGATTTTTGACATGCTACGCATACAAATTAGAGCAGGCTGCCCCTTCGCTTGCCCCCTACCGATTTCTCCTCTTTGGCTCATTTGGAAGCGAAACAGCAAAAAGCAAAGAGCGGAGAGCAAAAGCAATCCCCAATAAAGAAGCCAACTGAAAGGAGAACCGAAAGCAGAAATCGGCAAACAGAAGCCAAAGAAAAGTCGAAGCAGTTAAAGAAAGAATTATATAAATAAATAAAAACAGCGTGGGCAAAAAGAGTGGAAAAAGAGTGCTGAAAGCGCAGGAATAAGTAAGCCGAAAGCAGATAAAAAACACAAAAGAATCCACAGAGAATGGTAAAATACTCTTTATCGAAAAGCAGAATGAAAATAAAGTATTTTAGTCCTCACAAATACCCTTTAGGTACCCACAAACTAATTTAATCTAATCCCTCAGGCCGAAATCTTATTTATTAATAATTCCATCAATTCTATTTCGGAAATGCAAGTGCTTAGCAGGCATAAGGAGCTTAAAACGGACAATCACTGGAAATGCATTTTAAAATTCCGATTTAATTCGAATCAAAGGAAATATAAATTCAGAGGTAGATAAATTCATGGCTGGCGGATTATGGAGGAGCATTAAACTCTCATTTAATCCAGAAACTCACAGAGAAATCCAGCAAAAACTATTGGCGTCATCGAGTACCCACCACACAGCACACAATCCATGCTAATGATCCGAAATATCTTGAAGATACGCTCCCCTTCCAGCCCCACTTCCACTACCAATTCCAGTAGCCAACGCAATTAGCAAAGGTGGGAAAGGTGAGGAGCCCCTCAAGTGAGAGGTTTCCAGGCGTGACAATCGCCGGGGAGTTGGTCAAGAAATGCCATCACGTCAAGCGCGACCCCCTGCCGTTTGTCCGGCAACTTGATTGGGAATGCAAAAACACGACAAAAAAAAAAAAAGAGAAGGTAAAAAATAATATGGAAATCAATTTATATTCAAAGGCTGTGAGTCAGTAGCTTCTAGCCAGCAGCAGATGGAATGCGAAACACAATTACGAATGGCCCGGAGATTAATCAGCATTAATTGGTATTCAAATGCGATCTTCTATCAACGCTTCATGAAAATATTTACAGAAATTAATATTTCACAAATTGCATACGTTGAAATGAAGAAATAAATTGGCTTGATATGCTAAAAAAAAGTGCATAAAAATCATTGCCATAACGATGAAAGCGGCCAGCAAAAAAGAGTCCCATAAAACTTTAGAAAAATATTTATTTTCTGCAAATGCTGGTGAAAATTTTTGTGTAACCAAAACCTATGACGAGGTCGTTCGGGGGTTAAGCAAAAAGTCGCGCTAACTTCGTCATCAGTCAGCAAATGTTATTGAATTTTTATTATTTTTATTTACTGTTTTATTGTGCTCTCTCTCTGGGCGAGAAACATCATATAAATGTTGGCCAATGCTGCCTGCATTTCGGCCCTCTACGTCGGAACTTGTTTAAACAGCTGCCAGCTTAAATCCACCGCCCACCTCGGAAAATAAAAAACAGCCACAGATACAGAGTGCATAAACATGACTACAGATATGCGAACCGAGAGATATAAATTCTCCGCTTGCGAGTTATAAATTCCATATGCCAAAGCATCAAAACAAAAATGCGTTTGTGTTTTCCGTTTTTTAGTTTTTTTAGTTTTTCACTCTGGCAAAACCAAACTTTGAGGGATTTTGTAGAGTGGCAAACAGCTTTAGTCGGAGCTAAGGGGTTAGTCAGAGTTTCAGGGGAGCATAAACTAACTCTGGCCACTCTTAAATATTTAATTTATTCAACTAATTTAAGTTACTTCATTCACTCATTTCCTGTTTTCATAAACATCTCTTACAGCAAAGCTAGAACCATTTCCCAGCTAAGAGTGTCATTTTCCTTTGTTTATTTAACTCCAACCTTTGCTTATCAATATTTCCACAACAGACACTGGAATTCCAGCCAACTAAGCCAATTTATTGTATAGAAAATCCCCTTTGAAGCCATGGCCTCCGGCCGTCTCTTTTCCACTTTTCCGTGCAATCCAACTTTGATTTTGCAAATGCAAATTGCAAAAATATAAATTTTGCTCTGCAGGAAAAGCGCTTCTCATTTCCACTGCATCTGTTGCCAACCTCCCCTTCTACTCTGCTGCTCCACCTGTCTCTTGCTCCATCCCCCCTCCCATCACCCTTCCCACTCGCTATTTTTTGGGGCAACAAATTTCCGCACACGTCGCTGGATTTTGCACGTAAAAAATGTTTGAAACAAACAAAATATTTGTTTAATTTATTTTAATTTCAAAGTTGCAGCAGTTGCAGATATTTTTGGTAGCGGAAAAGGCGGAAAAGCGAGTGTGTGCGGAAAGGATATGGCGGGGAAAAACAGGGACAATAACAACTCCGGAAAAGTGAGAAAACTAAGCCACAATCATAATTCACGCGCTAAAAACACCAACAGGGAAGCGGGTAAACGGAGGGCGAAGGGAAAAAAGAGAGGTTTCAGGAGCCCAGGCACTTGGAAAAGCCAGGAAATGAAATGAATGTGGAAAGACTCAAAGGAAAACGGCATGGAAAAAGGAAAAAAGAAAGAAGAAAAAGGGAGACAGTTAGCAGGTAGACAGACGAAAATAAAAACCAAACCAAGGGCGGGGAAACAAACATAAAAACTCAAGAAAACGCACACAAATTGTTGCAAACAACCTATCGAGCACTTCTCAAGCAATATCCTGCGCTTCGTCTTAAGCATTTCATTGCACACACGCAGGATTTTCCGAGGAAAACTCAGCCGAATCGGAAGGCACTTCAAGGATCAACAGGGAAAATGTCCTGAAAATTAAGGGGACGCGACGGCGAAGAACAAATAAAAATGGCTAAAAATAATCTATGGAAATGCGGTTGGGAAAATGGAGAGTTTTCTGTCCTTTAAGTAGTTTTTACATGTCTTTAAGTCACATTTAGTTGGTATAAAAAATAGTCTACTTAAGAATATTAAAGATCAAAGGTTCGCCCCCAGAAATAATTAAAATTATAATTTCTTTTTATTAGGCATTAACTTCTAACTATTTAGCCTAAGCCAGAAAAGGTCTTGGGTACTCCTGCTGCTCTTTGCTAATCTTTTAATGTGTTTTTAATGTTCGATCCCTCAACCCCTGAAGTTTTTCCCCCGGCCACTGTCATCAAATCTAATAATGCCCCCGAGTCGAGCAATTCCCCAGAAGCTTGGGGCCAAAAAACCTCCGTGGAGAGTTCATTGATTTCTGATTCTCGCTGCTCTCTGAGTCGGAGGCGTTGACAGTTAAGCTGAAAGTCGGCTTTTACGAGTAGTTCTTCCCGAAGCGCCAAGAACACGTGTCAAAGGCCCAATTAAGATGTCGAATCAACACGTTTTATTTATTAAATGATTACGCGCCCGAAACACAAACACAAAAGAAAATGTGGCAGCACCATAAAGTTAATGGTGCACCATATCTTCTGAGGGGCAAGAACTCTCTGCCCACCTAATGGCTGACAAATTAATAAAGGAGTCGCCCCCCCTTTCGAGTTAACTTGACCGATTTGCCCGATCGAGTGGATATAATTCACATTTAAATTTAGCCCCCGCCCTCGGATGCTTTTCCAGGGGTCCGTTAAGTATTAAAAAGCATTTTGTAAGCAAACTATTACATGTGAGAGGGGGGAAAACTTTGGCGAGGCGTGCCAAACTAAAGTTTCTTATGTCCCCACTTTTCCACCTCTATTTGTGCCACTTTTCATGGTACAGTGAGTATTCCTGATAAGAGATCTAGGAATAATAGAATATCCAAAGCTGTATAGTGGTCCCTTAATGCTTTAAGTTACCCCTACTGAGTACTGACTGTACTCCCAGTTCAGATTCAATATCGAGGGCTCTTGCTAGCAGTGAATGCTACCAATTGACAGGATCCTAAGTGGGCGGGTGAGACAAAGGAGGGACTGTGGAAATCGGGTGGAAAATTGGGAAGGCTTGAGGAGCAGATAAAAAACTTTATGCTGACGTCAAGCTGCAGCAACAAAGATCAACAAAAAACTAAAGTGACGTCGCATGGTGACAACAGCAAAAGCGACATGGAAAATCGAGGGAATATGCTAGGGAAAATTGCGGAAAAGGGAAGCTGTCATAACCAGGGGATGTCTAAGGAGGAACCCAAAGTTTTAATTGATTTGTGATATGCGAGTGCCAAAAACAAACGAAAATCAAGGGAGGGACTAGATTATCCGGTGGCAAGTCAGGGCAAAAAAGGTTGAATTAACTTTTTACTTGCATAAAATGAGCTAATAAATACATTTATCTTAATCACTTACAGGGAAATACCTGGAATTTGATGAGCTTGTCCTTAACCCGAGATGATCTCAGGGGTCCCCTTATCAAAGCTTTAAAGTTCCCAAGAAAAAACATTTCAAATTGAATGATAAGAAAAACTCGAATACTTTGTGTTTAGTTTGTATTTCCTTATGCAGCGGAGCCCTGATAGAGTACATGGAATACCTAAGACCTCCTTTAATCCGCATAATCTGCCCTTCTTATCAGCAATCAAGGGAATAATCATAAAAAGCAAACTTAAACTCACCGATAAGAAGAAAGTTCCAAATATTTAGCGCTGCTCTCCTCGCACTCCTCCTATCGACTGTTGCCATCTCTTCCGTGGCTGTCGTTCGCCTCATATCGTCACTCCTTTATTATTTTATCTGTTTTATGTTTTGTTTGATTTTCCTTATCTTTGGATGGGGGTGGAATAGCTACTTCCGATTTTCCTTTCCGAAAATAGGTTTTGCTATTACCGCAGCTCTTCTTCTTCTTGCAATGATAGCGGTTCTTTCAGCTTCTTCTAGCTGCTGCAGTTGCAGTTGTTGTTGTTGCAACGCTCCATTGCGTTGGAAAATGTTTTTGTTTACTATTCAGTTAATATTATTTGTTGTTTATTATTTATTGCACATGGAACTTGTAATGGGTATCCGAAAACGAGGAAGAACAACTGAAAAGGGTTAAGAATGATGATGCTGATTAAACTTTGATTTTAAGATTTTCTTTTATCGTTTTTTTGTGGTTCTTTCTTTGCTTTTGTGTTTTTCTTTAGGTATTTGTTATTAACAACATGTTGGTAGTCAACAATAACACTGCTTTTTAGGGTTTTTGTAATGCACTTTTTGAGTTTTTACAGGGTTCTTTTATGGGACATTTATGAATTTCGTCTTAAAGAAACATTTTTGTGGGTTTCTCTTTGGGTTTCTCCTTCTCTTGGTTAGGTTAGGTTTTAGGCATTTCTTTATATTCCTTATGTTTTAATACTTATTACTTTTACAATTTGCATTTATTAAACGTTTTTCGATGATTTCAAGTTTAATTTCTCGGCAACTCCCTTTGGTCACTTTTATCGTTATCTGCGCTTCACCTTTCTAACCTCTCCTTTTTTCACAGTTATAATTGCATTTGTGCTTCACACTATTTCGTAGATGTTGTTGTTGTTGTTTTAGAGTTGCAACATGTTTTATTGCTTTGCTTGTTGTACTTTTGAGCAGGTAAGAAAATCACTTAAAAGGTTTCCAAGAAACTCGCACAAAGACACGTTGAAACACACAAACACACACACTCTCAGAGATTGGAAGGCAAACCTGTTTTCCAGGTAAATCAGTAAAGGTGTGCGAGAGCGAGGGGGACAGACCGATCGCCAGAGATCGAGGATGGAGAAGAGTGATGCGGAGAGAGAGGGAGCGATGACGCAGATGCTGCGTTTTTTCTTATTTATCTTAGCTTCTCTTCTATTTCTTCTTTGAGTTTTAACTGTTGTTTGTTTCAAATAACTTTTGTTATACAGATATTTTTAATATATTTATTAACTTTTGTTGGTTTTTGTTTTCGATTACTCTGTTCCTTTGCCAGTTTTCGATACTAAAAATCACTCACTTTGCACTTTAAAATTAGTGTAATTTTATACCTTAAACTTAGTATTTTGTATTTGTTTTGGGCCAATCCTCAGCTTGTTGTTGTTGCTCGCGCACACGCGAAATTCGGAAAATCGGCTAAAACGCGGCGGTAACTCAGCGACGCGCTCCCACTTTCATCCACGAAGGCGTTCGATGCGAAAATGGTGAAAAGAAGACTCGAAAATTTACCTATACTTATAGGTTCGACAGGCTCGACGGTTGCGTCGGAGTTGAGTTCGGGCAGGGCTCGAATCAAACACCGTCAAACGGTTCGAATCAAACAATCGAACGTCACCTGTTAAGTGGTAACGTTTGACTAACAGAGCAATCCCGCTATGGCGGCTGTACCTTAACATTTCTGTATGACATGATGTTATCAGTATCGAACCAAGCGGCTTGAAGTCGAAGTTTAAATCGAACATGCTGGACGTGGAGAGCGGCTAACAGCGGCAGTTCGAACGGATTTCAAGTTGGATGGGAATTTACTCTTTTACTTTCAATACTCTCTTAAAATCACTCTTAGACATAAAGACATGGTTATTTACTTGACACCAACTGAAACATCTTCATGAGCATAACAACATTTTATCTATAACACAAATATATTATTATGTTAAAAGTATAATAATTTTTTGTATTGCTGAATGTCCTCTTGATTTTAAAGTTGAAAATAAGCGAATCAACTTGGGATAGATTGAGCTCTCATTTACTTTTTTGTAAATAGTATCCTATTTTACCTGATTTATTAATTGAAACAAATTTAAACTACTATTTTGGTAACCCTACGACTTTGCGCAAACCACATTTGAAACAACCGTTTTATTTGAATTTAACATTCTGCCAAAAGTCTGAATTGTACCATTTTAACAGCACATTAAGAGAGGAGCAAATTTAAGAGAAAGCTTCTTTCTTTCCTTAAAATGAGTACAAATTCAACAGTTTGTGTTTCAAGTTTGAGTGTTAGCTAAAACTGTCATACAAAATAATCATAAAATATATCTTAAACCAATATCTTAATCTAAATATTTTCTTGATTCATAAAAAATACGCAAATAAATGGGCCAAAACCGCTGAAAAGCTGAAATAGAAAAGCTCGACTTCAGCAACATGTTGCGTTTTTCAAGAGGTTTTATTCGTCTTTTTCGAAAGAAACTTGTTTTTACGGCCAACAAGAAAAACCAGTCGGGAAAATTAGTCAAGAAAAATAAGAAAAACCAGCAACAAGTTGGGTGCAAGAGAGACGGGTAGGACAGTGCAACAGAGCGCGAGATAGGGGACATGCAACAAGTTTGAAGGCAAGAAACTTCGTTAAGTTCGCTCGTATGCATGGCCATCCCTTTCACACCCCCTGAAGATCACTGTTAACGATCTTTTAACCAGTTTTTTTGAAGAAGGGGGTGAAGAAGAAGAGGTAAGGAGGTGAGGTAGAAAAAAGCGAAGCAGAAGAAGTAGGAGAAGAGGAAGAGGTGATACACTAAAATGTAAAACTGTAGGTTTATTAAGGTTTTTCTATGTTAATCTTTAACTGTTAACTAAAAGAATGAAATATATTTTCAGCTTGTGTTTTATTAAGAAAACATAGATGATAGCCGCTGTAATAATAAATATTTACCATTAAGAAATAAAAAACAGTTTTCAAAAGCTTAAAGTTTTAGATTCTTGAAGATTTCTTTCATTCTGCTGTTTCTGTCGCCCGAGTTCATGTTTGCTTTTCTTCGCCTTCTTCTCCTCCTCCTTCATACCATCTTTCCATACCTCTGGTAAACCCGTTTTCCTTTCAAACACGTTATTTCCAAGACGAAAACCTGGCCGATATGGCACTTTCAGCTCGAACCTTTTCTTAGACTTTTATCTTCGACCACACCCACGAGATTTTTAACAAGAAACTAAGTAATTGGTTAAAAGAATAAAATTGTGTTTTTTAAGCAAGTTTTTTTTTAAATTTATTTCACTGTTCTTACATTCTGTTACTAACATAAGTTAGTATTAAATAGTAAATCAACACCGCAAAATGAGTTTGTCTGCGAATGATTGATTATTTCCCTTCATAACTCTGAGAGAAGACCCCCTGCACTTTGAAAATTCTCAATTTTATTTGAGAGTCCGCCCACGCACTTTGCATAATGAATGCATAAACCTACAAGCCGGCCAAGAATGGTAAATAATTTTAAAACAGATTTTCTGCTCGTTCTGCCCGCCCTGCGTGTTCCTCAATGTTTATTGAATTTTTGATTTGGGCCTCGGGCTGATTTCTCCTTATAATAAAACTCCGGACATGTCCCGCTACTGGAGACGCATACAAATGACCTCAGCGCCCCGGGCCTGCCCCCATTTCCCTCAGGTGAAAAGCCGACTAGACTAGTCTCCCCCTCCCTGGCCACACTTTTAATTTTTCCCACTAGAAATACACGCAAAATCCAGCTTAATTATCTCTATCCCCTGGCTTTAGCTGGTGATTTTCCAAGGCCTCGGTAATTGCCTTAATTTTACAGCCTTATTCCGATGGAATTTCCCTGCATATTAATCGCAACAGGAAGAAGAAAACATAAGGCGGGGGAAATTAATAGGAAAAGCCTAACTTCAGAAGTGGCTACTGAATATTAACTAAAGATTTTTGTAAAGAAAAGGGTAACGAATTGAAAGAAATTCAAAGAGAGTGAAGGACATTTAATCTGAAATGGGACTCATCTCAAAATGTTAGTTTTCTAGCTGCTTTAATCCGATTCTCCAAAAACCTTTTTTTTCTTTCTTGAGCTGAAATCGATTTCGGATTTGATCTCTTGATCTTCTGTTTTGAAAAAAGAACCAAAACACAAAAGAAAACAAACTCTGCGATCTGAAAAAAAAAACCAAAACATTGTCAGAAGCCGCTGAAGATTAAAACTGAGAAGTTGGAGTTGGAGAAGAAGAACCCGCCTTCAAAGTTGGAGATCCCGAAGAATCAGAAGAAAAGGTCGACGCCGCCGAAGAATTTGACAGCGGGCAAAATTAAGAAACCAAAACATGATCTGCGGTTTCGGAGACTTCTTGAATAACAAGTAGATTAAAGTAAAAACAGAAAAGGGAAAAGTTGGGGGAGTACTTTTTGTGGTTAAATTTCAGCAATCCGCAAGCTATTTTATATTGGGCTCTTTCTTCTCATATACATATGTTAATATATATTCTTTTTATATAATATTTTAAAAGTACATATAAATTTCTTGCACCTGATAAATATTACAAAGAACACCTACCAAGGATAGCCAGTATAAAGGCGTTTAACCAACGAAGATGGAAAAATAAAAGTGTAAAAAACAGAAACAACCCTCAGAATTTCCTTAATCAAGGCCGAGATAAAAATGCAGGTAGAAAGAGGGACAACAACAAAACAAAGGAAAAGACCACTGGAAAGTGCAATGGGAAAGAAGAAGCATACAAAGAAGTAAATTGGAAGAGCGAAGAAAGGAGTTGTTCTTCTACCTAAGCCTCTACTTCTGTTCTTACCTTCTCCATTCTCCTTTACTTACCACTTCTTGTTGCCACTCACGCAATGTAACCGAAGATAGCTGAGGAAGGTGGATGGGGGAGGAGGTGTGAGGGGATCAGGTGGGGCAGAAAGAGAGCGGGAGAGAGGGGGAACTCAACTGTCAGTCAAGTTCAAGAAGTTTAACACAACAAAGTGGGCAAGAAAAGACGGCTGAAAAACTCAGTTACGAACTCACACTAAGTTGAGATACCGAATTGGTAAAAGGGATATGCAGGAAGAAATCAAATCTTTTCTATTTTGTATTTTTTTCTTTATAAAATAATATTAAATATAATAATAATAATCAATAATCAATAAAAGTAATTTACCAATATTTTTGATCAGCGTTAAACACGGATCAGCCGTAGTCCCGTCTAGTCCCCTATGCCCGCTGAAGTCTAACTCGACTCACGTTTGCAGTCTACTGTCTTCAGTCTTCAGTCTTCTGCATCCAGTCTTCTGTCTTCCAAAGTGCAGCCTGTCGTCTGCCTTGGCCATTTCGCATTGGCCAAGTTAATTATGGGTTTGAGGTTTTCGAACCCAACTCCGTCAGCAGCTGCCAAAAGAAGAAGAAAAGGCGAAAGAGAGAGACGGGCTGATTTGGGGTAGAAAGAGAGGGGCAGCAAGGTAAAGGTTGGGGGCTAAATTGCAATCTCTATGAAAATTGGTTCAGCCTGCGGTCGGGGGTCGAAACCATATGCCATTGTGCATATAAAAGTACAGTGGACCCCCAGTAAGTGATATATAAAAGATACAACTTATGATTGTTAACTCAAATGGAAGCTGAAATAGTTTTCTATCTCAATTACTGACTGTAATCCCTGTTACTTGATCTGTTCGCCCTATCCAGTGCCCACTGTAACCTTTTCAAGAGACCTCCGACCAGGAATCAAGTTCTATATAATTGCCTCGTGTGCGTTTCTGTTGCGTTTTGTTTCTTTTGTTGTAATTCGATTCGTGAAACATTCAGGCAAAAGAAGAAGCACTTGAGGGATGCATTTTAATGGCTGCAGGAGGGTGTGGGGGTAGCGGGGCTATGAAGGGGGTGGGGCTGCTCATTCGCTTCGATTAGAACGCAATTTTCCAGATTTTTCTCCCGTCCGCCTTTGTGCGGAACGCTTCGAAATTGCTCCATAAGGAACTCAATGGGAATTAAAATGTTTGTTTTCCCTTCCGAGCAGAGAGTCGAAGAATAAGAAGCTGGCGGAACAATAACAAGCAGCCAGCACTGTGGAGTGCGCATTCTTTTGGGGCCCACTGTGACCGCCACTTGAGTTCTTTGCCTTGCCTTCGAATCCAAAAATACAACCTCTCATCGCCCTCCTCCCAGCAGCCCCCTAACTTAATTTCCAATTGCACATAATCCGTTTTGGGCCTTTCAAGTATTTGTCGTTAAATTTGATGCGTAAATAATAAAAAGGAGAACGTAATAGGAAAACTCTGTAATTGCC